GGCTCTGCTTTTTGATGGGGCAGCACCACCATCATCCTTCAGAGGGGAGGAAGAGCAATGAGAGCTCTGCCATGGCAATGGGGGGCTCGAAGCATGGGGTGCCTGCCTGCTCCTCAGGCCACCCCCAAGGCAAAGCTCCCACCTCCTCCTGCAGAGCAGCCCTGAGGCACTCAGCGAGCTCCTGCAGCCGCATCTTGCTCTCCACGATGTCCTTGGAGCACCAGGAGACTTTGTTCCTCTTAAGCTGCAAGTCGAGGAGCTCAGCCTTGGTGCTCTCCAGCTCCTTGCTGAGGGCAGCCCGTTCTTCCCTGCGGGATGGCATCAACCTCAGTGGGAGCAGCGTTCCCCTTCCTCAGTGTGGGATGGGGACATTTCCCATGCCTGCCTCCCACCGTGACCCAGAGGTGATGCAAACCTCATGGATTTAGGTAGTTTCCCCCCCCAAGATGGGGTGTACCAGCCTTTCCCACAGCCCCTTCCACCCCCCTGGGTGACCCCACCAGAGCCATGCCCCGCTTTGCATCCCCCACCCTCCAAAAGGGGCTCGATTCCCCCAAACCAGAGGGGTTCAAGCAGTGTCCACAGCGGGGTCAGTACCGCAGGCGCTGGTGGGAATCCATGAGCTCCTCGTGCTGCTGGCTGCGCTCCTGCAGCGTGTCCAGCACGGACCTCAGCCTGGCCTCCACCTCCAGCAGCTGAGTGCGGGACATTTGCTTCTCCTGCTCCAGGAACTGCAAGAGGAGGATGGGGGGACACAGCCATGGATGAGGGGATCCATTGGAACAGTTCCTATTCCTCAGGGTACTGTTTCATATCAGGGGTAATTCACCCTTGGAGACCAGCAGGGCCATAGGGCAGTTTGGGGGGGGCAACAACACATCTGCATCCAGTGGGAAAACTATCCTGGAGAGCTTCCCGGCCCCCCCCATCCCAGCAATCACTGCTGCACTACGTGCAGGAAGCCAACCACCCTCACCCCCCTGCTATGGAAGGGCTAATCCTGCTCCTGGCCAGCCTCCAGCATCCCCATTGAGGACATGATGGGAGCTGGCAGCGCGTGATGGCGTGGGCAGGGTCAGGCAGCTCCTACCTCCCGGCACTCGGTTGCCTCCTGCAGCTCCTGGCACAATCCATCGCGTTCCCGCTGCAGCACTTCCCTCTCCCGCGCCAGCCTGCAGGGATGGGGTGGGATATGGGGTGGTTATAGGGGCACACACACACACAATACACACACCCCAATGCCCTGCCCCAGGGCTCGGACCCACCAGGCCATCTCCTCCCGCTGCTTCTCATTCTCCTGCTGCAGTGCATCCCGCTCCCGCTGCCGTGCATCCCGCTCCTGCTCCAGGCTGGCCATGCTGGTCACCAGGGAGCTGTGGTCTGCAAGGGGCAGAGCTCTCAGTGTAGGGGGGGGATACAGGGGCAGCTCCAGCCCCACATCATCACCCATACCTGCACTGAGGCGTGAGTTGGCCACTGTCAACTGGTCCAGTTTAGCCGCTGTGTCCTGCAGGGCCGCCGAGGTCTCCTCCAGCTGACGAGATGCCTGCAGAGACACGGTGCGCTCTGGGATGCTCTTCCCTATGGGGTACCCCCAAATCACCCCATGCCTGGGGCCAGCCAGCACAAAGGAACACCCTACCTCCTGCTTGGCTTGGAGGGCTTCATCCGCTCGCTGCCTCATGGCATCCCGCTCCTCCAGGCAGCTCTGCAGCTTGCTGGGAACCCTTTCCAGCAGGGCCTGGCACCGGGACACCAGGGCCCTCGCCTGCTCCCACTGCGAAAGGAGGCAGTGATGGGTATGGGGGATGTGCCAGGGTTTCCAGATCCATGGGGAAGGGATCCAGCCCGGCCCCACAGGGTCCCACCTTCTGGGTGAGTGCTCTCTGCTCATCCTGCAGGCTCTGGAAAGAGGCATCCACGAGGCCCTGGAACAGGAGGCGCTGCCTGCTCCAGGTTTCCTGGGGAAGGGACAAGGACACCGATGCTCAGGCTGAGCACACTCCACATCCACCCACTCTGTGCCTCATGGCACAGCACACATCCATCACACACCATGGCCTCCACAGCCGTCTTCAGCTCCCGGTGCAGGTCCTGCTCCGCTCCCCGCTGCCGCTGCAGAGCATCCGTCCTCCTCCGCAGCTCGAGGTAGAGGGTGCGGTAGATCTCCTCCTCCTAAGGGCACCATGGCAAAGCAGAGGGGGCTTTGCACCAGCCCTGCTCCTCTGCTTCACCGTGACCCTCCCATCCTGCCCCCAACGTGTGCCAGGGATGCTTCCCTGCACAAAGGGATCGAATCCAGCAAGCTCAGCGGGTTGAGCCAGGCGAGATAACGCAGTGGGAGCAGCACTGGGTGCATGATGCTGGGTGCTTTACTCCCACTCCACTGGGCTGCGGAGCCACGGTCCCACCAGTGCTGCAGGGAGCAGGGTGGCACCTCCCCAGTGAGGACTCTTACCCCTTTAGGGTGGGTGACATCGGTCTGGGTGAACGCATCCCTCTGCTCGGCCGGCCCCACACCAGGCAGGGACCGCTGGGTCTCGGTCCAGCCCCGCAGCTGCAGCGACAGGGCCTCGATGATGATGAGGGTGCTCTCCAGCCGCCCCTCCAGCTCTGCCCGTGGCAGGGACTTCAGCTGCTCCCGGGGACAGCTGGGGACAGAGAGAGAGAGGGCTTGGGGTAGGGACAGCCCATGATGCCATAGCCCTGCCCCACAGGGGATGCTCGAACCCACACTTACTGCCAGAGCAGGGAGTCTGTTTCGGCAGCGCTGTCCTTGGCACAGGGAGGGGGACCCGTGGATGTGTTGGTGCTGCTCTCCCGCAGGTCCCGTGGGGTCATGAAGGTGCCGGTGACTGTGGTGGGCACCGGGGTGACGCTGGTGCCAGTGGTTGCGGCGGGCACTGGGGTGACGCTGGTGCCAGTGGTTGCAATGGGCACTGGGGTGACGTTGGTGCCAGTGATTGCGGTGGGCACCGGGGTGACGCTGGTGCCAATGGTTGCGGTGGGCACCGGGGTGACGCTGGTGCCAGTGGTTGCGGCGGGCACCGGGGTGACGCTGGTGCCAGTGGTTGCAATGGGCGCAGGAGTGATGCTGGTACCAGTGACTGCAATGGGCACTGGGGTGACGTTGGTGCCAGTGGTTGCAATGGGCGCTGGGGTGATGTTGGTGCCAGTGGTTGCAATGGGCGCTGGGGTGATGCTGGTACCAGTGACTGCAATGGGCACTGGGGTGACGTTGGTGCCGATGTCCCGCCGTGGCAGGGTTAAGCTGTGCCGCAGGGACTCCATCAGGGATGAGGAGTTGAGGGTTTTCTCCAGCCACACCAATGGCAGCACCCAGGACACAGCACCCAAGGCCACCTCGGGCGAGGGGATGGGGGTCTCTCTTCCCTCCAGTGCAGCAGGCTCTGACCTGCCTGCCTCAATGGGAGAGGATGCGGGGGATCCCTGCTCTTGTGGGGCAGGGGATGGGGACTTGGCTTCCTCAGGGGTGTCTTGGCAAGGCAGGGAACCAGCACCCTCATCTCCGGATGGGGGCTCAGGGGCCAAGGGGCTGCAGGAGAAGTCAGAGGGTGCCACTTGCCACCCATGGAAGGAACCTTCCTGCGGGGTGGAGGTAGTGCCGGGGGGCCCTGGGGTGCAGGAATCTGAACTGGTGTTGCCTGAGGGCCCAGGGGTGCAGGGTGCTATTGTGGTGCTGTCTGGAGAGTTTGGGGTGCAAGGCACCGAGCTGATGATGCTGAGCTGGGCTGGAGTGGGACTGCTGGGGGGCTCCAGGATGCAGGGATCTGGGGGGGGACTACTGGGAAGCTCTAGGTTGCTGGGCCATGGGATAGGGCTGTCCAGGGGTGCTTCCACAGTGTTGCTGGGAGGCTCTGGGGTGGAACTGCCAGGGAGCTCTGGGCTGGGGCAATTGGGGGGCTCAGGGGCACTGGGCACCAGGGTGGGAGTCCTGGGAGGCTCCAAGACACTGGGACCTAGGGTGGGAGTCCCAGGGGCCTCCGGGATGGTGCTGCTGGGGGGCCCTGGGGTGCAAGGCAGTAGAGCGTTGCTGCGGGGGGGAGGCAGGACAGCACTTCTGGGGGGTCCTAGAGCACAAGGCACGGGGGTGACACTGCTGCGGGGGCCACGGGTGCAGGGCACTGGGGTGGCACAGTCATGGTCCTACAGGAGATGGGAAGGGAGGGGTCAGAGTGGGTCCCCAGCACCCCAACCTCCCCATTACCCCCACCCCAATGCATCCAACGATCCCAGTATCACCCCCCCAACACCCCCTCCCGTTAACCCGTCCCATCCCGATCTTGAGCCGCAGGCGGTGGAGCAGCGGGGTGAGGCTGGTGCGCTCCGCGCCCGGCTGCAGCCGCAGCTCCTGCAGGGGGGTGCGCCGGGGCCGCTGCTGCGCCTGGGGAGGAGGGGATGGGAGGGGAGGGGAGCACCGGGGGTCACCGGCGGCACAGCCCCCCCCGTGCACACGCACAGACACAGACACAGACCGAGAGCCCCGGCCCGCCCCGTTCGGGGCTCCCCCCAGCCCGCACTCACATCGGGGGTCTTGGCGGCCCGCATGGCCCCGCTCCGGTCAGTCCCAGGCCCGCTCCCGGTCCCCGTCTCGGTCCCAGGCCCGGTCCCGCCGCCTCCCGTACGCCGCCGCCGCCGCCGGTTTGAAAACCCACGCTGCGCTCTGATTGGCTGCTCAGCGCACGCGTCACGCCGCGGGGTGAGGCGGTTATGGGCGGAGCTTAGGGCGAGACCACGCCTCCCCACCACGCCACGCCCCCTCCACGCCTCTCCCCCCTCCCGCGCTGCGCAGCGCCGAGCGCCGGGACCCGTCTGGGGGAACGGGACCGGTTCCCCCCCCCCGGTCCCCGGTGCTTCCCCCGGACCCGCGTCCCCCCGCAGGACGCACCCGCAGCGGTGCCCGCGGCTCTCGGGTTTATTGCTCCCGCGGGAGAGGTACAACGGCGGGGTCCCTGAGCGGTACCGGGGGCAATGGGGGGGGGGGCTCAGCCAGGGCAGGGCCAGCCCGGGGGTGCTGTCGGAGGGACTTCGAGGTCGCAGTCGAAGTCATCGAAGGTGGCGGGGTCCGGCGGGGGCTGCTCCGGGGGCTGCGGGGCCACCGCCACCGGCACCGGGTCCTTCTGCAGGAGGTCGGCGTCGAAGGCCACGCCGCGGAAGAAGGGGTGTCCCTGGAAGTGATGGAGGTAGCGCAGGCGGTGCAGGGGGTTGTGGCACAGCAGCTGCGGAGGGAGGAGGGCAGTTGAGCAGGGGGTACCCCAGTGTCCACCCCGGAATGGGGCTGTAGGGACCCCAAATCCCATGTTGGGGGTTACCTCGGCCATCAGCCGGGCCAGCGCGGGGCTGAACGCGGGTGGGCTCTCGTAGCTGCTCTGCTTGACACGCTCCAGCATGGCCACATGGTCCCCTGCCGGTGCCACGGGGAACTGGGGGGGGGGGCAGAAATGGATTTAGGGGCACCCCATGGAGCCCCATTGTTCCCCCTACCCCATGGTCCTCACCTCCCCGCTGGCCAGAGCAAAGAGCAGGACACCCAGGGACCACCAGTCGGCTGCATGGCTGTAGGGCCCCCCGCTCAGCACCTCTGGGGCTGTGGGGATGAGTAGGTGAGTGCCTGGGGGGATTGTGCCCCCCATCGCATCCCCCCCATTGCCCCTTTACCCATGTACTGCAGGGTGCCACAGATGGTGTGGGCTCGCTCGCCCCACTGCAGGTGCCGGGAGAGGCCGAAGTCAGTGAGCTTGAGGTGCCCTGTGGGGTGAGACACCACGAGGGGACCAAGGATGGGGCATCCCCATGGACAGGGTGTCCCCACGGGTGATGCGTCCTCAAAGCAGTGCCACCAGGCTCTTACCTCGCTCATCCAGGAGGATGTTCTCCATCTGAAATGAGACGGGTGCTGGGGTGGCCTCTCCATGCTGGGGGGTTCAGAGACCCCCCCCCCCAATCCTCAGACCCCCCATCCCCGCTGTCACCCACCTTCACATCTCTGTGTATGATGCCCAGGTCGTGCAGGTACACTGAGGGGAAGATGCGGCCATCAGAGCCGTGGGTCCCCTCCCACAGCACCCATCAGGCTCATCCCTGCAGGTCCCCATCCATGGGGCCCCATGGGCGCTGTCCCCAGCATGGCGAGCACTCACCCAGCACCAGCACCAGCTCGGCAGCGAACAGGCGGACGGTGGCCTCGGTGAAGGACCCGGCTGCGCGCCACAGGGCGTGCAGGTCCCCGGTGCTGCAGTAGGTGCACACTGTGGGGACGGGTGACATGGGCATGAGGGGCATGGGAAAGGGGGTGGCATGGGCACGGTCAGTGGGGCTGCGCACCAAGGGGATGTGGCCGCTATGGATATGTACCAAAGTGATGCAAGCCCTGGGGATATAGGGTGGCACAAGCAGCAGGGCAATGGGGGCACCAGGACCAACATACTAAGGTGACACATATGTCACCTTATGACACATATGTCACATATGACACACGTCACCTTAGTATGTCATATTTAATCATACTAAGGCCACATAGGAGCATGCAAGTACCAGGGCCACATATGGTGACGAGCATTGGGGACAGGCAAGCTCCAAGGTGACAGAAGCCATGTGGGGACCAAAGTGACATGCCCCCCCCTAGGGTCACACAGGCACCAGGAGCATGGAAGTGACACAGGCATGGAGGTGACACAGCCATTGGGGCAGCAGGACTGGGGCTCCTCCTTCACCCCCATCTTGTCCCCATCTCCATCCCCTCCATCAGCCGAGCGCCTGCATCCCCGGGGCTGTGCGGGGGGGGGGGGAGCGTGTGCGTGTGCGGGGACACGTGTGCCGGCGGCGGGGACACGTGCGCGGGGGGGACACCGGGGGCAGATGGTCACTCACTGATGAAGAGGTGGCGCTGGCCCTGCCAGCTGTCCCCCAGCCCGTGCACAAACGGGTGCCTGACCTGTCTCTGGGGACACAAAGCAAAGAGGGTGAGCAGGACTATGGGGCTAAGGGGGGGGCATGGGGAACCCGCTCCTGCCACCGTCCCAGTGGCCTCTGCCAGCCCCATGGCCACCCCATGGGCTGGGGTCCCCCCTAACCTGGATGCTGACTTCTTCCTTGCACTGCTTCAGGGTGTCTCGGCGCAGCACCTCCACTTTAGGCACGACCTGGGGTGGGGTGGGGGGGGTGAAGGGGTGTCAAGGGGGGCTGTGGGCAGGTAGGGTACACATGGGGCAGCACCCACCTTCACGGCGCAGACCTTCTCCCGCCCGCAGTCCAGCACCTTGAGGATGGTCCCAAAGGAGCCTTTGGCCACGAAACCCAGGATCTAGGGGGGCAATCAGGGTCTGAGCACCCCAAGGAGATGGGATCAGGATGCTTGGGGTGGAACAGGGTGTGGGGTTCTGTGTAGGGTGACATGGGATGGTCCAGGGCACCCATGGCAGGTGATGGGGACACTTGGGGACCAGGGGAATGCAGGGGACCCGGTGTGGGGCACATAGGGATGGGGGACAGGGACACAGTAGGACACACGGGCACCCCATTACGGTGCAGGGAGACCCCGTAAGACGCACAGAGGCTTCACACCGGGGCATGGGGAGCCGGTGGGGATAGAAGGAGACTGGGGGGACGCCGTTAAGATGTGCAGAGACGGGGCAAGGGCTTCCGTGGAGAGCGAGGGAGGCGGCCGGCGATCCCGGGATGCACGGATGGAGCGGGAGGATGCTCGGGGGACCGGGGTAGGACGTGCAGGGGCTCCGGTAACGGGGTGCGAGGGACCCCAGAGGGGACGGTCGGGGACCCCGATAGGATGCAGCGGGACCCCGGTAAGGGGATGGGAGCCCCGGGACTTGCACCTTGAGCTGCTGCTGGCGGGCGGAGGAGCGCACCGGGAACTCCGGCAGGAACAGCGAGACGAGCTGCGGCAGCGGCCACCCGGGCACCGGCGGCTCCTCGGTGCCTCCCCGCGGGACCAGGGCGAGCCCCGACCCCGGGACCGGCCGGGTGCGGCCCAACAGCGCCCGCACCCACGACCCCACAGCGCGGCCCTATAGAACCGGAGGGGGGGCATCAGAGGGAGGGGGGGAACACCGGGAACCGGGAGAGGGGGACCCCGGGGGCCGCCGCACGCACCTGGGGGGGCCGCACCGGGGCCGGGCCGGGGCCGCTGCTCGATGCTCCCATGGCGGCGCCGCCCCGGGCCCGGGCCCCGGTAATCCGCGGCTTTACATAACCCCGCCGCCCCGCCTCGCTCCGCTCCGCCCCGCCCGGGTGCGACAGCCCCCGAGAACCGGGGCTACCCCGTGCACCCAACGGGGACTGCTCCCCCCCCAACTCGGACCCCCCCTTGCACGTCCCCATCACCCCGCTCGTCCTCTCGTTGCATCCCCTGCTCCGGGGTACCCGGTGGGGTACCCACAGCGCCCAGCACCGGGGGTGATGAGGATGCTCCAGCCCCGAAGTGCGTGCCCCGGGGAAGGGCAGGGGGTGAGCATCCGGCACCGCAGCGTTAACGGGGTCACAAGGAACGAGCCACCCAAAGGATCCAAATTAAAAACTCTTTTATTTAAACTCTCTCCTGTTCCCCTTTCTCCCAGCCCGGAGCCATCCTGCTGCTTCCCCAGGCCCAGCACCCGCACAGCAGGGAGCAAGGAAGCTCATGGGGCACCATTGGCACAGGGCATGGAGGGGTCTGCACCCCACATACCAGCCCCAGAGCACGCTGCGCCCCACAGCCCTGTGCTGCTGCCCCTATATCCTGCAGCAACAGCACTGCCGGGGGGCTGCATGTGGCTAATCCCCCCCCTTGGGCATCACCGAGCAGCACGGCCACCCCTCACTGTCATAGGGGAGCATGGGGCACCCTGGTCCCTTTCCAGCCTGCTGGGTGCTGCCGTCATTTGCGCCTGCCGAAAATGGACTTCTTGCTGGGGTTCTTGTCCCCCACGCTGAGGCCGATGAGCAGCCGAGCCTTCTCATCCTCCTCCTGCTGCTGGATGGGCCCATCTGATTTGCTCTCCAGCTTCCCCCGGGCCTCTGCGCCCGCTGCTGGCTTCAGGCGTAGCTTCTCCTTGATCACCTGCCCCGGGAGGAAGGGGGCTCAGCATCCCATGGATGCACCCAAACCCCTTTTGCATGGGGGAGACCCGGAGCGGCTGCGCCAGGGAAGCCGCTTCCCACTCTAAGGAATGCGTTGCCCACTATGTTGGGCATCCCAGGATCTCCATGCAGCCTCCTTGGGAGCAGAAAGGATGCACAGCAAGATGGGACCCCACGTACCTGTGCCACCAAGGCTTTGCGGCTGTCCCTCTTCACCGCCATGGCAAAGTCCAGCCACGTCCACGTGTTGTTGTGGTACTCCAGGCACGGCAGCACCAGGTTCAGGTCGCCCCAATACACGCTGTTCTTCTCACCCTGGGGGACCCACAGTGTGGGATGATGCCCCAGGTCCGCCCCCCCCAAGCTGGAGGGGCTGTGCCCCCTTCCCCATCCCACCGGCCCCACACCTTGTAGCTGACGCAGAGCGGCACCTGCGGGATCTTGATGTAGATGAAGGAGTTGTTCATGGCCGCGCGCTCCTTCATCTTGTCGATGTCATCCACGGGATGCTGGGGACAGAGCAGAAGGGAAGGAGCAGGGAAGGGACAGGCGGGCACTAAGCCATAGCATTGCTTCATGGGGGAGAGGTGAGAGCTGCTCTGGTGTGGTGTGAGCAAAGGGATGCTGCAGGGATCACATCGCTTGGGGATAAAGGATGCAAACCCTCCAAACCCCAACCCCATAGGCAGCAGCAGGTACCTCGGGTGCTTTCCGGAATGATCTCCTGACCCCTGATGTCCGATTCAGCCCCTGAGCAACTCCTTTCCCTGGGCCCAGCGAGTCATCGGCCGCAATGAGCTGCCGCGGCTTCACCACAGGGATCCCTGGGACAAACGGGGTGGGAGATGGTGTCTGGTGGGGGTTATCCATCACCCAGACCCTGCCTCCCCTCTACCTGCCCATGGGGATGACCACAAATCCCTGTGTTTTGACATCTGTCCCACCAGCAGCTGACACAAACACATGGAGCTGCTCAAGGTGCTATGAGGGGTGACCATGAGCCTCTTACCCGTTGTCACCAGTTTGGACTTGTCTTCTTCATCCCCAACCTCCTCCTCTTCCACGTTGCGGCCGGGGAAGAAGAAACCCATCATCCTGTGGAAGAACTGGTGGGTGAGCTGGATGGTGAGAGGGACCACGTTCACCTGCGGGAGAGAGGCACATCACACCCTGCCCATGCCCTGTGGGGACCTCAACCACCTCCCAGTCCCAGCCCATCAATCCCCAGCACCTCGAAGTGCTCCTTGATGGAGATGCCTCCAACGGGCGGGCGGACCTTGCTGAAGATCCTCAGTGCCAGCTGCCGGCCGGACTGGCAGGAGCTCTGGGGACGCAGCACCACCTGCAGGGAACAGGGATGGGTGCTTGGGATGAGGACAGAGCGCCTCACCCTGCGCGTCCCCATGGATGCAGGGCTGGCTCCTTGCCTTGTACACAGCGTTGGGCAGGAGGTTGTTCATCGTGACCCAGCCCAGCTCCAGCAGATGCTCGGCTGTATCATCAGACTTGTTGACCTGCGCACATGGATCCATCAGCTCCACGCACCCCAGGCCCCACTTTGGGGACTGTGGGTGCCACCAGCCCATCCCTACCTTGCTGTAGAGGAAGCGCTGGAGCTCCAGCTCGGCTATGCCCAGCTGCCCGTCCTCCTCGGTCAGGCGCCAGCGTGCCTGGGCAAAGTAGAACTCGGTCCTTCGTGCCACGCTCACGTCCTCGGGCTGCTTCCGCAGCTCCATCTTGTTGGCTCGCTGCAGCTGGAAGTCCTTGAAGCACCTGGAGCAATGGGATGTTGAAGCCATGGAATAAGGGGGGACACAGCACTGGGGACAGCCAGAGACGGGCTCTACCTGATCAGTATGTTGAGCTCCTCGCTTTCCAGCTGCAGGTCAGCCTTCTCCTGGCTGAGCTGCTGCTGCAGCCGGTGGTTGAGGTCGAGCAGGCTCTCGTTCTTGCTGTCATCCTGCAGGGACTGATGGACACACAGCCCTCAGCACCCCCTGCCTGCAGCAGGCAGCCAGGCCCTGTCTGGAGATGGGGCTCACCTTCACGTTGGAGTACATCTGCTTCTCCAGCTGCCGGATCTGGGCGACGTGCTGCCTCACGGCCTCCTGCAGGTGCAGGATGCTGCTGCGCTGCTCCTCGGGGTTGCTGGAGATCTCCAGCTGGAAGCGCACCCGCTGCTTCTTCTCACTGTGCTCCTGGATACGGGGACAGGGGAAGGTCAGCGGTGCCCTGGGTGCTGTGGGTGATGCAGTGACCTCAAGCCTCGTGGGTACCTTGCGTTTGGGCTCCACGTGCAGCAGCAGGTTGTTGACGATGTCAAGGATCATGGCATACTGTGCGGGGTTGGTGGAGATCTCCAGGTCGTGGTGGATCAGTGTGAACGTATCCACAGCTCCTGTAGGGATGCACAGAGGAGGCTCAGCATGGCCGGGAATGGGATGCACGTGGGGGCCAGCAAGGGATGGAGAGAGACAGGGAATAAACCAAGGTGGTTACAGAGGGGCAGCACATCCAGCATCATCTGGTACCCTGCCGTGTGGCTGGGACCCCTCCTGTGTGCACTGATCTCAGCAGGGCAAAGACAGACCATGCCTGGACTTAGCTGGCACTTGTGGGTCTGCCCCCCAAGTCACACTGCCTGCATGTACCCACCCTCCTGCTTCTTCAGCAGATCCTCCTTCTCCTGGTTGGCGGGGGTCTCGGGGGGCTTTATCTGCGTGGCCAGCTCGGGGTCGATGTCATGGCTGTAGCTGATGTAGTACATGCGGCAGCTGCAGCGTGAGATGATCCTCTGTACCTGCTGGGTCTGCTGGGCTTCCGAGGGCTGGTTCCAGTCTGGGGACAGGCAGGGGTACCACGGTCAGAGCACCACACTGGGGTTCAGAGCATCACCCAGCTCAAGGAGCCATGCAGGGGGAGGCCAGCCCTCAGCTTCACCAGGCCTGGGTCAGGATGGGCACAGACACAGCAGCCACGCTGTGGGCAGTACCTGTGGTGGTGCTGACCATGCCCCCCACCGCCTGCCCACTCTCCATCAGCTCCTGCACCGAGTCCAGGCTCCGCTGCTGATGCTCCTCAATGTTTTTCACCTAGGAAGGCACAGAGGCACCATTGGCTGTCCCTGTCCTGGCCAGTGCTGCCTGCTCCCTATGCATCCACTCACCTCCAGCCAGAGCTGCCCATGCTCCCTCTCAGTGGGGCCACTCTCCGTCGTGGCAAAGTACTGCATGCCATCCAGCAAGCAGGTCCAAGAGGTCTTCTGCTTCAGCGTGTCCCCATACCAGGCAGGGTGGTGCTGGCACTGCAGGAGCTGGGCTTTGGCAGCAGACACAATCACGCAGCCCTCGGTCTCCGCGCCACGCAGCACCATCTGCAAGGGGGGGGTCAGAGTCAGATGAGAACTTATGGGGCAGGGAGAGCCCCTGTCACAGGCAGGCCATGGGGCAGGACAGGTACCTGGCAGTTGACCAGCTCAATGAGGCAGTTTCTGTTGTAGATGTCATCGGTTTGGCAGGCAGCAATGCCACAGAGCTGCTCGCTAGCCCCCGACTCCTCCTCTGTGAACACCACAAACTTGTCTGTCTCCTCAATGAGCTTCTGCAGCATGTAGGCCCCTGGGGAAGGAGGAAGGGTCAGTGCAAGGCTGTGTGGTTAACGGGGTGAAGGCAGGCATGGCTTTGGGCTACCACGCACGCTGCCAGTGATGGGTTTCTCCTCCTTGCCATGCTCACCCCCTGAGGAGGCTCTCTCAGGACGGCCACTGGTGATGGGGACAGTCACTCTGGCAGGGATGGAGTGAGCAGAGAGCGGGCCCCGCTTCAGCTTCTTGGCTTGGAGCTGTGTGTCGATCTTGAGCCCCTTCAGTGCCTCGGTGGAGAGGTTGCGCTTGAGCACGGCCGCCTTCTTGTAGCCATCGTAGAGGCCGAAGGCGATGTCCCTGTTGGTGGTGGTCCAGGAGGCCCGCAGGTCCACCAAGTGCAGCTGATGCGTGTGGAAACCATCGTCCCCATCCCGCAGGGGCAGCTCCTGCACACAGAGGGTCAGAGCTTCAGGGAGGTGAAGCCACCCCCAGGCCCATGCCCATGGGACTCGCACACAGGGGCTGCAAGCCCTGCCATGCCCTGCATGGGGACCACTCCACAGCCTTCATCAGGGA